GTGTTGAGAGAAATAGATTTAGCCGAATTTTTTCTGATTGTATAATGGCTTCATTGCTGAAAAACTGCTTAACTGACGTTTGTGTTTTCACTCAGTGTATGCCTTTATAACCTTTTAAATTTCAAAAACGTCATAACCTACCATCCCATTTAGTTTGGTTAAAACCCCTATGGGACCTATTTCATAAAGCTAAGACTGACTCTTGGCATACCTTTTATACCTAAATAGAAAACTGTAGGGATGGGAGTGGGCGGTTCGTGGACAACTAAATCTGAAGAAACCCTCATTAATATATGCTTTCCTGACTGCGATCAGACGCCAAAAATATGGCCGCAAACAAGTCGTCTATAACTCACAAAAGATTTACTGCACTCGAACGTAGACTAGGACAAAATTAAATTCGTTATATATAACTTCTTTCCCTGTAGAAATTGCAAGATACCATGGTATCCTGGCTAGAAAGGGGCTAGCAAGGCCAGTATCTCCTTGACTTACATCCCGCAAAGCTGGAAAATAATGAAAGTGTTCCCCATTCCCAAACCAGGAACAGTAAGTCCAACTTTCAAAATTTCACATTAGTCTGCAATTGACTTCCGTTTGAATTTCAACATAACTCACCTTGAATCCAACATTCGGGATTCTGTGTTTCACTTTACGAGTCTCATTTCCACTTTATTTCGGATTGAAGAACCTGCCTGTAAAATTCGGAAAGTGAAACACAAACCCGAAACTCCGGATCCAAAGCGAGTTTTGTAGAAATTCACGCGGAAGTGAATTGCAGAACATCCCTGACTCATCCTATTGGCTCTCGCTTGCGAATTATTGCGTAATATTTATATTTTTTTATTGAAAAACTTTGGCCTCATACATGCAGACTGATTAGGCCCAACTATTGGCTGGCTCCAGAAATAGCTTTCATGAAAAGAGCAGTAAAGATGTTGAAGCATTTTTGGTGAATGTCGGTATTATCTCAAATCCTGGGATGGTTTTATACCTAACATTTTGGATCTTGCAGTGAGAACTTCCGAATAAATATTATCTAAATGGGGCATTTAGAGTACGTCCTACTACAGGGTCCATTAGTTTAAGCCGGGACACCGAATTGCCTTGTATCTATATTCTCACAACGCTCCTATGTCTTTACCTTAGGATTGAGCTATGCTATGCTCTTATTGGGGTTCTGGGATATCCTTCTGGTCCTACGATAGGTACTTAGTCGTATCACGTTGCCATTCTCTAGCATAGTTTCCTGAACTACCTTCTGCTGTTTGAAGCATCAGAAAGCTTTAAGATTACTTTGGATATTGTAAGGATAGCATCTAAATATTCAACTCAATTGGAGATCTGATGAAGATATCTCAAAGAAATTTAGCATTACTAACTGATTTATGAAAGGTTAGAATGCAAAGGAACAGATAGAGAAGCACAACTAGCTTAATATTTAGCTATGCTTTTATGTAGATGAAAAACACCTCCTTTAACTGCGGACAGCGGGTCTCACATACCTTTCGGGCTCATGACGAATTAGTAGGATTTGCTGTCAATACGTTCCCGCAATTTTATAGTCTGTGAGACCGCGTGTCCAGGCTGGTGTTATGAAAAAAAATGACCATACATGTTGTAACATTGGTAAGGATTGAACAGCCGTAGGAACTGGACTTGATTCTAGGATGGAACCTAACATTTATGAAAGGGATTTTAAAGCTGTAATGGATATTTAAGTTACCACCCTACAGGGAGAACCTGTAGTGCAGGCACAGTCACACTCAGAAAAAAAAGTTATAATTTACATAGAGCTCAACCAGCCAACGACGTAAAACCGTAGACCGTGTCAGCTGACACGACCTATCTTATGGGATTCTCGTGTTAACAAAAATGTACTTAACCAACCAACCAGCTTTTTTAATAGAACTAATTCAAATGAATTGCTGTCTCTGAATGGGAGAAAGGGATTCCCTAAAACATGCTCCACTACATTCTAGTACTTAATGTAGGCAATGCAACTAAAATGTTCTTGTAAATACATACATATCTGTCTACGAGACCCTTTACGCTTTCGTCCACCGGTTGCTCATCGCCGGCACTTTTTAATTCCCGCTGAATGTTGGCACATTTGCGTGTTAATATTGTGTCGCCTCATTAAAGTGAAGGACGCGCTGCTGCATCCCGCTGGGAACACTTGCCAATGTCCTTGGCTGAAGTGCAAAAAATGCTGCGAATAATTAAAGTAAGCGCTTTAGCGAAACAATTACACACCTTAAACCAGGCTACACGCATATCAGTATCTTTATTCTCGCATTGAGGTCAACAGTAAAGTGTTTTACACGTTTTGTGTATAATTTGCGAAAATTAATTTCAGCACCTCATCTATGCAACCAAAAAGGCACCCTGCGACAATATGCCACAATAAATCATTTTAGCTACCGCGTATACTACCAGGCAAGGCTGCCAGTTAGTGTCCAGTGGCAAAGTTGCAACAAATTCGGGGCAAGCAATTCAATGAAGCAATGAAGTCATTAGAAAACTATTCGCAACAGCAAAATAAGCCGACAAACCAACAATGCCTTCAACTCTAACCTGTAGCGGTGGCGGCGGCCGCAATCATAGCTTCGACGGCAACTCACTCCACTCCATTCAATCGCTGGTGTTTGGACCATTAAGCTTGAACTGTTTAAATTTATAATCACAAAATAAACATCAACTTGTCTATGTGTCTGTCCGCCTGCGTCCTTTATTGAACACTATATTTTATTAGTACCAACTCGGTTTTTATTTCACTTTTCTTAGCAGCATTTTCTAGGTTTGGCCGCACTTAACAATTTCGTTTATGCAAGCGCGCAATTTTTCATTTATTTAATTATTTTTTTAATTCTAGTTTTCTAGTCCATCTACGTATGTATGTATGTGTATCTTCCGTATGTTTCTAAACAATTTTCCTTTGTCTATGACCACTCCAATATTTTGCATTGTCAACTGCCGGTGGGGTAATGTACATTTTTCATTACCCCAAAATGGCTTTTCGTGTTCATATTATGGGCTACATACCTGTGTACAAATGCGCATATACATACATACATCCATTTGCACAAACTGCTTGCAAAGAAGGTGTGCATATGCACGTGTGGGTTGCCCTACAACCTGTGACACGTGCATACATACCTACATATGTATGCGCATACCATTACAACTGTACATGGCTAGTGCACGTAATGAATTAATTTATTCACTTGAATTTGCACCCCTAGCCCCATGACCTACCTGACTCACTTTGGCTAACTGCAATTCCTTTTTTATTGCCAATTTTATTTTATTTTGTTCTGTTTCTTTCACTGTTTTATTTTTATTTTTAATGCATTTTTTTTGCAGAGAACATGAAGAATATGGTTTCTGTCAGGTGGGCACTTCAGGCGCACTGCTGGATGATAACACCATGGTGGTAGGCGCGCCTGGGCCCTTTACTTGGCGCGGCACTGTGTTTGTTACAGAAATTGGCGGTGAATATTTGGAACGCGATAAGACAATGTATTATGGTGATCATTTGGACAACACATCACCGGTGGACAAGTACAGTTATTTAGGTGAGTAATGATTTGGTTGAGATAAAAAATAGAAGAAAAATATTCATTCATGAAAGCTTAAAAGTAAATTAATGATTTTTTTTTATTTCGGCCAATGTTGAAGCTCTTTAACTGTTTCACATGTATGTACGTATTTCACTTGATCCAGGTTACGTTAGGTTCGCAGACTGGCCTCAATAGGAATCACTTACACCAAAGGTCATTTGAGACCGCGGAGATATCTCGGTTAATCCCCCGAAAACAACTTGATAGGTAGAAACAATATGAAAAGGTTCCTTACTTCTACCAATGTCAGATCATATACATACAGAGATTATTTAAGAAGTGATTACTAGTGCTAATCAGAGGCATATCAGGTGCGGGATGGCCCATTCCACTTCTGTATCCAAATAAATTTTGCAGATCATTAAAGGATGCACTAAATCTATCTATTATATGTATGTATATGTGTATTGGTTTACAAGTAAGTTTTAATGGATTTTTTCTCAAATTTGAAACTTTATTGTGCAAAATTGGTACGATGTGTCTTATTGTAAAGTATTGCCGCGTCAATAAAACTGTTCGTCTTTAGATACCAAGAAAGTTTCAACCCAATTTTTGATACCTGCAACTGAAGTGAAGCGTACTCCCGTAAGGGCGTTCTGCATCGATCGGAGAAGATGCTAGTATAGTAGTGCAAGATGTGGGCTATAAGGCAGGTGGGCCAGGAGGACTTTACATCCGATGTCTTCGCTATGAGCTTTGAAACTTGTGCGACATGTGACCGGGCCAATATGGCTCATGTCAGGTTCCTTGCCCCTTCCAGTCGTTTTCCGTAATCACTCGCTTCAATCGCATCAGTTGTTGTCTGTAGAGAGCCACGTCGATCGGCTGACCACTTTTCTGAAGCTCATAATACAGGATGTCTTTGTGGTCCCACAAAATAAGAGCACCTGGCTTCTAGGGATATTTGGCTTTGGTATCGATGGTCCCGGATCTCGGTGCTTAACATATGCCTTCTGGCGCTTTGGGTTGTCGTAATGAATCCATAATCGTCGCACGAAAAATTATCTTCTTTACGTTTTGGTGAAATAACGCATACTGTAAAATAAGGTTAACTGATGACGCTTTAACACGAAGATGGCTGCAACATTGTCTGGTTTACAATCCTTTAAAACTTACTAGTCTGAAAAAACCCGTTGGCACGTTGAGTCTAGGTCTGTGGCACCTTCCCATTCGTTCCTCTCTGTGTGTAGAAGAATGGTATAATGTAGTTGTTGTAGATCATCTGACAGAGTTCCCATGACCTTTACGTGTCCGAATCTGAGGTGTCTTCACGACTGGATCGCACTTACCATACATTAACTTTACTTCATACATAACATATCAGGTAATGCTCCCGTGACGAATATGGGAGCCGACCTCCTACTAGGCTCTGGATAAAGTCTTTTTTAACACTGGCCACCATACGGTGACCACATGGAAAAGTATCAATCTTATAACAGCTTTATAATCTAGAGTTCCTTTTTTTGCCTATAGCCGTCTTGCTTATTACTTTAATAAGTCGTGCTGTATGACACTTGAGAAGTGCATATGCAAAAATTTCATAAATTGCATAAACGAAATTTTTGCACATGCAGCTGTGCACCCTTTTATGCGAGTTGTTCGAGGATGTAGCGTGCATTTAGACACTAGGTGTCGGGAGATGCCTAACCACTCTGAGTAATCTATATTCGACACATTTGAGCTTTAACGAGTACAATTGAAGATTGATAGCCATCGTCTAATTCCTTACGGTTTCAATTGACGAATTATTTGCATTACAACTAAACCCCTATCAAGCTCTTTTTTGGTGCCAGGCGCGTATCGTTTCTCGCGCTTGAAAACAAGAAGTTTGTAGACAAAGGACTAACTATTGTCACTAGAGTTCGCTTAGCCTTTCGCCTGTTTATGTTCATAAAAAGTCGAGTCGGTATCGGAAAGTACTTTTTCTTAACAAACGCGGTTATATAGTTCGTCTTTTCGTTGTTTGTGTTAGTTTTGCTGCAACGCTCATCCAGACGAGATTTGTGAAACATAAATTGTTGTGTTTTGTAACCAATGAAATCTCAGCAACTCTGTGTGCCTAAAGGACAAGCGATGTACATACTTAGAGATTTATCGTTTGATCTTGATATGACTAAATCCTCCTGCGTTCACATGTCATCCATCAAAATTGCATTCTAGTCGATAAGTTTCAATATTATCTAATCCTGTAATTAATTAACATTGCACTACCATTGAAAACAATATTTTGCAACAGGCATGGCGGTCACCGGTGGTCGTTACTTTGGCGAACGTATGTCATATGCCTCGGGCGCACCCCGTTCCAATGGGCACGGTCAAGTGGTGATTTTTAATAAAGCCAATACCAACCCCATACCCGTAAAAATGATACTCGAAGGGGAACAATTTGGCTCTAGTTTCGGCTATGAACTCACAACTGCCGATATCAATGGCGATCAGAAACCAGATCTTATCGTTGCTGCACCATTTTACTTTAATAAATCCGAAGGCGGTGCAGTCTACATTTACCAAAATGAAAAGGACATGCTGCCAGCGAAACCAACACTGAAGCTAACCGGAACGGTGGAAAGTCAATTTGGGCTTGCGCTCGCCAATATCGGTGACATCAACAAGGATAACTGCGAAGA